TGTTCACTTTCAAATTCTTGGCAACTCTTTGCCTTCATTATCCTCAAGCCAATATACACCATTGCCGGCTGCCGAAATGATTCTATAAGGTCCCTCCTAATTTGGGCCCAACTTACCCTCTGTAGGATCTTTCTTGTTGCCGACCACTTTTCTTAGCACCAGGTCCCCAACTTTGAACTTTCTTGGGTTGACCTACTTATTATAGGCCCTAGCAAGTTGTTGCTAGTATGCCTCCAGTCAAATTGCTGTTCTCTTCATTTTTTCCTCAAGTAGGTCCAGATTTCGGGCCAGAAATGCCTCGTTAATCCCATTCTCTACTCCTTAGATTCTGATTCCTCGGATGCCGACTTCCAGAGGGATGACTGCTTCTGTGCCATAAGCCATGGCCAATGGGGATTCCCCAATTCATCTTTTCGGAGTAGTCCGATATGCCAAGAGTACATTGGGCAACTTTTCTACCCATTTTCTTTTTACTGCTTCCAGCCTCTTCTTGATCTCATCCAAGATAGTTTTGTTGGATACTTCCGCCTGACCATTACTCTGAGGGAAACTTGGAGTGGAGTAATAGTTCTTAATTTTGTACTTTGCACAGAAGCTTTTGATTAGCTTACTGTCAAATTGTGTACCATTGTCTGCTACTATTGCCCTTGGGATCCCAAACCTGGTGATGATGTTCTTCTATATGAAGTTCTTCACATCAATGTCCCGAATCTTCGCGAGGGGTTCAGCTTCTACCCACTTTGTGAAATAATCAGTTGCTACCAACATGAACTTCCTTTGTCCAGTCGCTTGGGTAGTTGTCCAACAAGATCCATGCTCCATTGGGCAAGCAGCCAAGGGTTGGACACTGGGTTTAAATCTGCTGCTGGTTGATGTATCAAAGATGTAAACCTCTGACACTTCTCACACTTTCTGACATAAGTTTCAGCATCTTTCTACATGTAGGGCCACTAGTATCCCTGAGTAATGGCCCTATGAACAAGTGATCTGCCCCCAGCGTGGCTTCTACATACTCCTTCGTGCATTTCATACAATAAGTCTTCAACTTGTAAAGAATGCACACATCTCAAAAGAGGACCAGTAAAAGACCTTCTGTAGAGATGTCCTTCTGCTGTCAAACTAAACCTAGCCGACTTCAGTCTGGTCTTGTGTGCTTCTTTGAGATCATCTGGCAGCTTCCCATCTCTATGGAATATTATTATTGTATCCATCCAACTTGGTCCTACCTCCACACACATTGCTTTGTACTTTGTGATCAGTGGTTCCACATTTGGGCCTAACAAATAGTCAACTATTATTGTCTTTGCCTCCACTGATTTCATTGCACTAGCCAGGTTAGCCAAGGCATCGGCATGGCTGTTATCATCTCGGCTAACCTGCTGTAGTCGGCAGTCCTGAAACAAGGCTAGTAGTCTAATAACCTCCTTGACATAAGCTATCATTCTTTTATCTCGGGCGGCATACTCGCTTGTTGTTTGGTTCACAATAAGCTGGAAGTCACAGAAGACCACCACCACGTCGGCTTCCATTGCTGCTGCCAACTTCAATCCCCGTGATCAGTGCTTCATATTCTGCTTCATTGTATGAGGCTTTAAACCCTAGTCGAATAGATTGTTTTAGCATTCGCCCATCTAGCGATACTAGCATTACTCCTGCCCCCGCTCCTTGTCGATTTGAACTCCCATCAACAAACAGGCGGAATGAGTCGCCGATGTAAATATCGCAGGGGTTGAGTTTCTCTTCTTTCTTCTGCTTTGTTGTGGGGTTTTTCATCCCCAGCTGGGTCTCTTCTTGTTCACCTGGACATCTTAAGCCGCGGTTCACCGGAGCTCGACGTAGGATGGCACCAGGTGTGAACTCGGCCACGAAGTCGACTAGAACCTAGCTTTGATTGCTGTTCTGGGTCTGAACTCTAAATCATTTTGGCCTAATACTACTGCCTATCTGGCCACCCTGCCTGTTAGATCTTTTAGCTGTAGTAAGGATTTCAAGGAGTGTTCAGTCAACACCACAATCTTGTGGGCCTGGAAATAATGGTTTAATTTCTCGGAGGCCATCATTAAGGCTAGTGTTAATTTTTCCAGGGGTAAATACCTAGTCTCTGCACCTGCTAGGGTTTTACTTACATAGTATACTGCCATTTGTTCTCCCTTCTCTTCTCTAATTATCACTACACTTACTGTATGGTCTGAAACCGCCAAGTACAAGAATAGCTTCTCTTCATGTACTGGATTCTAGAGAACTGGAGTTGTGGTCAGGTATCTTTTCAAGTCGGCCAATGAGACTTCACATTCCTTTGTCCATAAGAAGTCCGTGACCTTTTTCAACAGACTGAAAAATGGTTTACACTTATCCGAACTTCTGCTTATGAATCTGTTTAGGGCTGCGACCTTTCCTGTCAACATCTGCACTTGTTTTGCTGACTCTAGGCTTTTCAAATCCAGGATGGCCTTGATTTGATCTGGGCTTGCCTCAATGCCCCTTCTGGTAACCAAGTACCCCAAGAACTTACCAGACCCAACTCCAAATGCACATTTTGAAGCATTGAATCAGAGCCGATATGTTTTTAGGATATCAAAAATTGCCTTCAAGTTGGCCAGATGATCCTCAGGTTCTTTGGTCTTTACGACCATGTCGTCGACGTATACTTCCAATGTTTTGCCAATCTAATATCTGAACATCTTGGTCACCAACCTCTGGTACGTTGCTCCTTCATTTTTCAACCCGAAAGGTATCACTCTGTAGCAATACAACCCTTTTGGAGTGATAAATGCAGTCTTCTCTTCATCAGGGGGTACATTGCTATTTGATGGTATCCCCTATAAGCGTCCAAGAAGCTCATCCTTCTATGTCCTGAAGTGGTATCCACTAATTAATCGATCTTCGGGAGTGGGAAACTATCTTTGGGACAAGCCTTATTGAGGCTAGTAAAGTCCACGCAGACCCTCCATTTCTCATTCTTCTTTTTCACAACCACAGTGTTGGACAACCAGGTAGGGTAGTTTACCTCTCGGATGGCTCTGGCCTCTAATAATTTGTCTACTTCCTCGTTTACTGCCTCTACATGAACTAACGTCGGCCTCCTTGCTCGTTGGATAACGGGTTTTGCTGACCTGTCTACGTTTAGTTTGTGGCATGTAACCTCGGGGTTAATGCCAGGCATCTCGTATGGCGTCTAGGCAAACACCTCTATGTTTGCTCGCAAGAACGCTTCTAACTCCCTTTCCTCTTTCTCAGCCAAGCTTGAGCCGAGGAGGAAGAAGTGCTCTTCATCCCTTTGCTGGACCAAAATTTTCTTCAAGGCTTCCTCGCTTTTGTCGGCTGGCTCTTTGCCGACATCATCCAGGACCTCCATGTCCTTGTCTTCAACCTCTACTGTCTCTGCCTCTCACACGTTGCAGGTGGATTTCATTGCTGCCATGGAGCAATTCTTTGCCTGCACCTAATCTCCTCTGATTTTCTCAATTCTGTGCTCTGTTGGGAACCGCAACAGCTGGTACAGTGTTGAAGGAACAGCCTTCATTGCGTGCAACTATGGCCTTCCCAAGATAACATTGTAAGGGGAGGAGGTGTCAATTATTGTGAACTCTGTGCTTACCTTCTTGGTGTCTACCTGCACCTCCAAACTTATTGCTCCCAGGGGCCATGTCGGTATTCCATTAAACCTGACCATTGGACTGTTAGACTGCTCCAAATCATCTTGGTGAAGGCCGAGCTCCTTCTGACATCTAACATACATGATGTCACAAAAGCTACCTTGATCAACCAGAATGCGCCTTACCTAATATTCTCTAATCTTCAAGGATATCACCAGAGCATCGTTATGTGATGCTGCACCATTAGGAATGGCAACGGGCCGGCGCGGGACCGGGGATCATACTTCCCGTCCCCGATCCTTGATGGTAGAAATTTCCCTGTCCCCGGCCCCGATCCCCGACGGGAAGCCTATTACCACCCCCGCCCCCTAACGGGGATCGGGTTTCCCTGACCCAGAAGATTCTCTAGTCAAAAAAAAAAAAAAAGATATTTAACAACAATAGATCTGGGCATATTTGTTCATCATCATCAACAACAACACATCCATACATCAAATTTAACATATATATTCAACAAATCGAACAGATTGGAGCTCAGATGTAAAACATAAAAAATAAAAAATCTGAAACATTCACATAGAGAGACAGAAAGAGAGGTCAAGAACAAGCACAAGAGTTGTCAACAATGGCAGCCAAATCATCATCTTCCTCATCAACCCCAGTTCTAAAAAATTAATACCCAACAGACATACCCAAAGGCATGAGAAGATATCCGATCGTCGAATTGAGCCCAAATAGAGCCGCCATGGCCAGCCTCTTAGGGTTGTGGTTACGACAGAGTTTGGAGAGGAAGGGGGTCTCGATCGGCGGTCGAACTGAAGAAGATGTAGAGGGAGATCGGCGAGAGATCGGCAGGGAAAGGAAGGAGATTGACCGGAGGGGGAGAGAGAGAGAGAGAGAGAGAGAGAGAGAGAGAGAGAGAGAGAGACGGTGTGACTCACACCGTGTGAGAGGTTGTGTATGTTTTAGGGTTTGGTTTATATATATAGGGGTATATTAGTAATTTTACATCGGGGAAACGAGGCCGGGGTTGAGACGTTTATCCTCGTCCCCGGCCCGAAACTGATAGAGGATTAATTTTTGAATACCATCCCCGCCCCGTCAGGGATATTTTTCGGGAAAAAACTGCTCAAATCGGGGTCGGAGGGTCGGGTCCCAGTCAGGCTGGGTTTAAATTGCCAGTCTAGGTCAGTTTCAGTAAATGACACCATTGGTTCTTTCATCTACCCTAGGCCTCTTTTGCTGGACCTGATACACATGTTGTAAATGTTTCACCCTCTGAGTCTCCCCACATACCTTGTTCTCATTGACCTCCGAATGAATCACATTAATCATTCGAGGTCCGTCTGCTTACGATTGTAGTGCTGCTGAAGGTGGTGCTACTAGTGCCTGAGGCAACCTTGGTTACTCTTCCCTTGTTCTGGCCTCATCTACCAGGTCCATTAAGTAACCCTGTCTTACTAGGTCTTCCAGATGTGTCTTTAGAGCTCTGTATCCCTGAGTCAGGTGCCCATCCTCATTGTGGTAGGCACAGTGCTTCCCCAGGCTTCTTCCCAAAAATTCGTCAGGGATCTTTTCTAAAGCTCTATAGTAAGGCTGATTCCTGATCCTTTCCAGGACTTTGTAAATTGGGATCCGGAACACTGTGGTGACTGTCTGTACAGCCCTTAATTCTGTTTCTTGTCTATTGAAACTTGTATTGGCTCGGCCTCGCTTCGGCGAGCCGTTCCTCTTCTCTTGCTTTGACGCCTTTGTCCCTAGCGTGTCTTTCTCTGCTCTCGCACATTTCTCAATTCTGACCATAAGCTCTTCCATACTTTTTGGCAATGCCTTTGCCAATGATTTTCGAAGCAGACAGTCATCGTTCAGGTCGTTCTTAAAAGATACAACCGCCACCTCTTGGTTGCACCCTGGTATTCGGTTAAACATCTCATAATACCTTTTGGCATAAGCCTTAAAGCTCTCATCCTCGCCAATTCTCAAAGCCATCAGGGAGTCTACCCTCAACGGCTGTAGTTTGTTTGTAACAAACCTGGCCACAAAAATCTCGGCCAGGCCTTCCCAACTTCTCACAGTTCCTTTTAACAACTTGTAAAACCAATCTAATGCGATTTTCCCAAAGAATGAGGGAAACACATTGCAAAGCAACGGCTCGTTCTCGGTATACAGTGCCATTGAGTTCAAATATAAGCCAACATGAAAGTTGGGATTCGACTTACTGTCGTATATCTGGAATCTCGGCATGTGGAACCTCTTCGGGGCCTCAAACTTGTCCAATTCTACTGAGAACGACGTTCTTGGCTTGACCGGAGATGTTACCTTGGCATCTTGTCGCTTCCTCTGAAGGTAATCCCTTAAATCCTCTTTAGTCCGTCTAGGAGCTAGGTTATCACCGGATTTCAGCCTTTTTGGTGTGCTGCTCCCGGTGTCATTATGAGTCCTCTTGGACCTCCCTTCATTCATTGTGTCAAAACAAAGCTCCTTTCCTTGAACATGCCAATGTTCTTTGACGTAGGTTTCTTTGGCATGATGTGTCTTCCGAGACTTTCCTCTCATCAATTCTCCTCGCCCGACTTCCCGTGAAGGCCGATGAGAATGCTCCCTTGCCTTGTTATGCTATGGGACTGTGGGGATTGCTTTTTGCCCCCCCTTTCTGGGCATCATTCTTGGCCGCCGAAATTGGCGTGTCCTCCAATGGGAACGGTGGCTGCATGGCGTTATTATGCATCATGAAATTGACAACCGCTTACAGGTCTGTCAATTTGTTTGCCATCCCCTTCATCTCGCCGTCCTTCCTTAGGTATCTATCTTTCTATACCTGGAGGTCGCTTTCGTTGTAATACCCGCCCTGACATTCTTTCTTTGGTACGTCTCCCTCTTGGCCGACGTCTTTTTCTCCGGGATTCTTATCCTGAGGTTTTTCGTTACAGTTGTCATATTCTATGTTAGGATCAGCGTTTTTACCACTCCCATTAGGGAGGTCGCCCCCAATCCTTTCTTTCTACCCGTCGTTGGCCATCTATTCTCCTTACGTTTTCCATAGACGGTGCCAAATTGTGGGTGCTGATTTCCGACCAAACTACAAAACAGGAACTCAGTAGGAAAGCACAGGCAAAATCGATCGCGCCCGAACAACCTGTCACAGAAAGATAAGACTCCGGCGGTGGTTCGTCCACCCAGGGGCACTCCGACGATCAAGTCAGTACTCAGTTATCTCTTAAAGATAGCAATTAGTACTTAACTCACTAGCCAGAATACAAAAAGCAAACTTTTGACCCACGAGGGTGTCCTACTTTTATAGTCAGCACTAGCCTGATCCCTGTAGAAGTCTAGCTTCAATGGACTCTGGCTCAATACTCATCTAGGACTCCTAGCCAGATAGAGATAAACTTTCTAAGAGCTTTATCTTTATCCAGACTGAGGTCCTTCCCTATTCTAGGACTCTTGTCCCTTATCCGTTCATCTCGAAATCCGGTATCTCTGCAGATAATCTCGGCCTAGCTGAGATCACCTCAGCGCTATGACCAAGACATGTGGCACCTCGACTGACAATTTAGTGTCACCTTGGTCACGTGTTGTCATTCACGAAATATGCCCCCACAAAAAGGATAGCATTAGAATAATAATTAAAAAAATTAACTTCTAAAATTAAGACACATATAATGGTATTTATATATATATATGTATCAACATATTACCTGTGCTATGTACGGATAAAAATAATAAAAAAATAATTTTTAAATTAAAAAAATAATATAAAATTTATTTAAATTATATAGTAAAAATGATTTATAATCAATTAAATTTTATTCATTTTTTATCAGAGGTGCACATAAGAAAATATTTTCATTCTAATGTCATTAATTGTAGTGGGACTTACGTATAGGTTCTAATAGATGGAATTATTGTCCAATAGGTTCTGTGAGAAGTAATGGTATTTTTCATTAAAAACTATTAAAAAAATATCACTAATTGTCAATTTTCAGAGGCGGTTTGAAAATTGTCACAAAAAGTTACTAATTATAAGTTTTAGCGACAAGTTTAAAAAATTGTCACAAAAAAATGTCACTAATTTTTAACTTTCAACAACGGTTTAAAAAATTTGTCACAGAAAAATATCACTAATTATAAGTTTTAGTGACAATTTATACAAACCATAAAAAAAAAGTCATTAATGTCAATTTTTAGTGACGTGCAAAAAATTGTCACAGAAAACTTTTTTGGCCATAATTTTATTAAGACTTATTTTCAATAGAATTTGATGAGAATTAAATCCAACTATTATGACCTATTGGTAGTTTATCCTTAATTGTATGTTCTAAGTTCTTTATAAAAATTGCATGTCATAATTTAATTGGTAAAAATTAAAGAAATATAAAAATTATATTTACTATAAAATATAAATACATTTCGTTTTATAAGTTTTGTAATTTTAATTTACCATATGATAGTAGTAAATTACATGTGTTAATATAGTAATTTTTTCTAATTTTATAAAGCCTAAAAATTTGTCTATTCAAAATTATAAATTGTCATATGTCGTTACTGTTACATAAAAATGGATTAGAATTGACTTGTGATGTTAGACTAAACATTAGAAGTGACATAACTCGACTCAATATTTATTCTAATGTGACATTAACCTAATCATTAAAAAGTGACTGGTATGAGATAATTTGAAAGTTTTAATATTGGATTAAATATTAAAAGTTAATCTAAAAAATTTAGTTCCCCCCCCCCTCCAAAAAAAAAAATTCTTGGTTTAAGGTATAATACATCATATTTTAATAACTCAATATCATAAAAACAAAAAAAAAAAACTTATGTTTATGGTGCTTTTTACCAATCAATAAAAAAAACGTAAATATTAAGAAAATTAAATTTGAATAAATTTTAACATAAATTTTTTACTTTAAAACTTTAAGATCTACACATTTTTTTGACTCTATAACTAATTTTTGAGATAGCAACTAAAATAAATTTCAATCATTATTACTTGGAGAGACACATGTGATAAGAGCTTGTAGTACACAATTTTTGAAAGTAATATTAATTCAAAATTTTCAGTGTAGAAAATATATACCTAACTTTATGTTATGTTTGATTCATGGATTTGAATAACTCGACTCAATATTTATTCTAATGTGACATTAACCTAATCATTAAAAAGTGACTGGTATGAGATAATTTGAAAGTTTCAATATTGGATTAAATATTAAAAGTTAATCTAAAAAATTTAGTTCCCCCCCTCCAAAAAAAAAATTCTTGGTTTAAGGTATAATACATCATATTTTAATAACTCAATATCATAAAAAAAAAAATAAAATCTTATGTTTATGGTGCTTTTTACCAATCAATAAAAAAAACGTAAATATTAAGAAAATTAAATTTGAATAAATTTTAACATAAATTTTTTACTTTAAAACTTTAAGATCTACACATTTTTTTGACTCTATAACTAATTTTTGAGATAGCAACTAAAATAAATTTCAATCATTATTACTTGGAGAGACACATGTGATAAGAGCTTGTAGTACACAATTTTTGAAAGTAATATTAATTCAAAATTTTCAGTGTAGAAAATATATACCTAACTTTATGTTATGTTTGATTCATGGATTTGATAAGGAATTTGGAATGAGAAAGAAAAAAGATAAGTAAAATATGAATAAAATATAACTATATTTTACCTAATTTCATACACATTTTCATTTACCTTTCAAATTTTCTATCCAAAACCATGAACCAAAATCAATGTTTGAAAGGAATTTTGAATATCCTTTATTGTATTGATATACACTATTTAAAAAAACCCTATATAATATTTGGTGGGAAAAACAAATTCTTAAAATAGATCATCAATCACATTATAAAAGAATAAAAGCTAGTCAATAAAAGATTATTTTTTAATTATTTAAAAAATTAAACATAAAGAGAAATAAATTATGAAAGATGTGAATTGATCCTTATATTTTAGTGATATAAAAGTCTAAATTTTAAAATTTATCCTTTTTAAATTTCAAAATTTAAATTTTGAATAGATTAATTAATTTTCTTTTTTTTTAAAAAAAGGATAAGGCTACAATTAACTTTATTTTTTGAAATGTGTAAATCAAGGTATAATAATATATTTTAAGATGATTCAATAAAAGGTATAAGATTTTTTTTTTTTAATTTTAATACTGATTAGTTTCCTTTTCAAATTTCTAAATTTAAAATTTTAAATGGATTAATTAACTTTTCTTTTGAAATGTGTAAATCAATACATAATAGATTTTCCTAATTCCCAAAGAACTTTTCAAATCATTTAGGAAGTGGGTTGGCTTTTTAGTTTTTTTGCTATTTTAGCCTGGGCTAAAAAGTTTAGTTTGGAAAGGGCTTTTTGGCTTTTTAGCTTTTTAGTTTTTTTTACTTTTTTTGTGAGAGAAGAATGTAATGATTATGAATGGGATGTGATGTTTTGTTTTTTGTGGCTAAAATAGCCTATTTTGTCTTTTGTGGCTAAATGTCTCTTTTCATTAGAAATCTCATTTTCCTTAATATATAATATAAATTATATAATATAAGCAAAAACATTATTGGGTCTTGGAGATACAAAGTCTCAATGCAAATTTATCAAATAATTAAATTATGAGTTATGAAAATACACATGCCATGAATGTATTGGCCTTGATCAATATGGTAAGGTATTTAAATATTTATACTTAGCTCTTATGAAACATTTTATATGAAAATCAAATCAAACTTTTTTTATATTTCAAAATATCAAAATCATATTATTTATTGATCAATAAGGTACTATTCCCTAAAATCGTAATGCTTTTTAAAAAATAATTTATTACAAATTTATAATATAAAAATACACATGAAATGGTAAAATTTAATAATATTATATTATAATATTATGAGCTATTTAGTTATATTATTAGTTCTTTCTTATTTATTATTATCTTATTTTCATTTAATTTAAATATTTTGTTAATCAATATGGTAAGTATTTTAGTTTTCTTTAATTATAATAATCAATCTCCAATGAGCAATAACTATAATCTCTATAATAGAATGCATACATATTTTGAAATTGTCACTTTATTTTTTTCTTCATAAATTAACTATAATTATTATTTGTGTGACAATTTTTCCAAATATATTATTATCTGTACATTAAAACAAAATAACTTTTTGTCAAAAATGTTTTAAGAGCTTCAAACTATTAATTTCAATTTATAAAAATTAATAAATACATGTCGCATAAAATTATTAACCCCTAAACATATCCAATTTAAAATTTTGAAAAAAAATTAGATGAAAAGTTTATATGTAAGTCAAATATAATTTAAGTAATAATGATAGATTTTGGAGTTCAAATTTAAAGTTTAGGAAGAATATGAGAAACAGTTATTTTTTCGTATAAATATTCTATGACATAAATAAAATTTTCATTAGAAAAATATTATAGAAAG